TCATATGGGCATGCCAACCTCTGGTACCATGCGGGTAAAATAGAGGGTAGATCCACGGTTCAACATTAGAATCCATGGCACTAATGAATTGTAGATCTTTCGTCCTTTTATTACGAACTGAAACATAGGATTCGGGGATATTGCCGTCAGCCGATGTAGTAAAAATGGCAGCTACCTCATTGATTTTCTGTACATTATATCGTCTCTGGTCCATTCCCGGTTTGAGGGAAAATATTAATTGCATTTCGGGTTCCTTGTCTGTACTTAGATTTCTCATGGATAGAAGTTCTTCATGCATCATTCGATAAGATTGAGCAAATACGTTGCATTGACGAAGAGAATGATCTATCGCATCAACTATTTCACGATTCAAAGTAGACATTAAGTTACATCGTATGTCGGTAGCTTCATTTGGATCAATAATAAACAGCTGCCCATAGGATGGAGTTTCATTTGAGTCAGGATAAAAACTTTTATTGAATTGATAATAGACTTGACCATGCAGTTTGAAACAAACTGGGCCAGGACGTCGATCAGAAAAATCTACCAAGTTTGCGTTAAATGATGCAAATGCAAATGAATTATTGTAACAACGAATACGATCATGAAAATGTCTCGATTGTTCATATTGAAATTTTGGGTTCCATTGAAAAGATCTTGCAGAATGGTAGGTGGAGTAGGTAATGGTTCAAGAGCTACTTCACCATGACTACAACAATCGTTAAATGAATCTTTGCGCACTTTTTCAGCGGAAAAATGTCTAGCACCACAATGACAACATAAAACATTCATTGAGCCAATATAATGCTCTTCGATTTCTTCTATGGAAGTATCACGGACGCTACTTGATCGATTTCTTTCTGAAGAATGGGCATGGTTGTTATCATATATCTCATGTATGGTCGGATGATTGGCATCAATGTTATTTGGCGAGTTGTTTGGAATTCCTAACTCTAAGACTGTCTTATTATTATGTGTTTCATGAGATAGATCATGTTCAATTACATTTTGGTCAATATTGTTTGTTACCATGTGATCTGGAAATTCTAACTCTAAGATCGTCCTGTTATTCAGATTGGTCTCATGGGATTCATCATGTTCGATTGCATTACGACGTATATCGCCAGAACATTGATTGTTCGCTAATTGATTGTAGGAACCACGATTTGAAAGCTTTTGTTGGCGACGTTTCGCGCGATAATCACGTTGGTAAGCAGCATTTTTTTCGCGTCGTGATTTTTTCAATTCTTCTTCTTCTTCATCTGTGCGCTGCATTTTTCTTCTAGGCATTTTTCAAATTTCGGCAGATCGAATAAAAAATCAAAGAAATAAATGAGTCAGTGAAAAATGGAAATTTTTTTGATAGAGTCAACAACTAATTAAGATGCTGCAAAGTATATTCTTTCTTTCTTGATTTAAATAATTTACCAATGATAATACTTTGTTTCAAATATAGTTTTATTAAGACGGAACCTATATTTACATGTGATATTAGCTGATAATGTGGTTTAATTATTTTGAAAATTAATCCTAAATGTTTGAAGATAAAAATTCTCAATCTTACATACAAAACTGATCTATTTGTTTATAAGAGATCAATTCTATAAGGAAAATAAAAAATTATTTTTCACGATAATACATTAATTTAGATTTAAATTTAGATTTAAATGCGCCTTTTACGATGATTGTATTCTATTTCTCGATGATTGCACTGGGTAATATGTCGTGAGGTTTTCGGTATAATATTTCAGGTAATAAATGGTTTTTGGTCAGTTTCGTTTCGTTTTTTGGCACTGGTTTTGTTATAGGTATTTGATCTGGATTGTTGTGAGTAGTCCGGGCAGAGTGGCCTCTGTACAGGTTGGATTGACTGCCCGAAGATGATGTACTCGGCCAAAAAGCGATAGGGCTACCTGAAAAACAAAAAATCACTCACGATACGTTCTATTTGATGAACATTGAATTTGTTGAGTATACTTACAATATCAGTTCGATCTGTTGTTTTATCAAGTATTCAATCTCAACGTTTTTGAGGAAAGCTCTGGTACCGACAAAGAATTAATCAACAGCTGACGCTATTATTTCTGAAAAATTTTCAAATAGTCTTTATTTATTTAAGAATTGAAAATATAATGATTTCGATATTTCAGTTAAGAGGATTAATAATGTGTCACAAAACATGACAAAATAAAAATGACCAAATGCGCAATATTTATTCAAAAAATTCAAACGGTTTAACGTGGCTTATCAGCCGATAACAGTATCTTCCGGATTGTTCTATAGATTTAACAATTTTTAGTCATCATATTTTTACACCTAAATTGTGTAAAAAAATGAATACGTAATAAAAATAAATCGATCATTTTCTAACCTCATTTAGCACTGTTGATACTTACATTTTGAGTCACGTAATATATCTCCCAATAGCACAACGTTTATTTCATTGCACACAGTTCATTTAGGTGATTTATTACTCAGCAATAATAATTGTCTATGAAGAAGATTATATTTCTTGTGATTGAAAGATTGTGTAGGTCGAAGACCACCGTCAATATCTTTGATTAAGATGCAGAAACTGTCTTTTTTTTATTGGCACTCAATCTGCATTTCGCTACCGCTGGCCCTCTGTAGAGGAGCTCCGTAATTATTGAAGAGAGAAATAATTTTTTTTATTTATGACCTTTATAATTAATTAAAGATCATGAATGAAAAAACCAATAAATAAATGAAAAGAATATCAGGAACGAAATTCGGGAAATACATAAAATTATAGGAAAAACGCTGACTTCTCAGACAACACCAGTAAAAAAAAATTATTCGTCATTAATATTTATCAGAAAGAATCATTTTTACTCTTTAAAGGCACAATTTACTTTTTTACATTATGTCTACATCACAATGAATCCTTATAATAATTTCATTAGATATTTTTTATCATAATCAATCATTTGTTGATAGATATATACTGAAATTACACGAATCAGTCATTTGTCTTATTCAAATATAAATATCTTTTCCATATTTTGCTAATAATAATCAGTCAATAATGTTATCAACGAATACTGACGTTCGTACATGGATATATAGATGGATAGGTTTTCTTTAAGAGGCAATAGACCCCATCAAGATCGCAGAGATTTTAATTTGTTTTCTAAAAAAAATCACTGGTTGGAAAAATCTGAAAATTTTTGTAATCATTGCAGCAAAGCGTTAGAAAGGCATGACGTCATTTTTTTTATTAGATTCGGTTTCTATAATTTTTAGATTAATCAGATTGAAAAGAGAAAAATGTCATGCCTTTGTAAGTAACTGTCGCAATGGCCATAAACAATTTCTGATTTTTCCATCCAGTGTTTTTTGATAAAATAGGATTGGTCACCTCTTAGACTTCAATATCAAACTCAAATAAATTAATTTTTCGTCACAGAAATTTGCGATTCTTACATCAATGTTGTTAAAAAAGAAAAGAAAGTTGGTTTAATTATTCTCATTTTTGTGGAAACTGAAAAAAAATCAATAAAATAAAAAAAACTGGGAAAATCGCAAATTTGCGTTACATTTTGCAGTTGAATATTGTGTTTTAAGTGATGACAAAAAGATAGGAAAGATACGAATTCTGACAATTCGAAATGCTCTGTTTCAATTCACTTTTACAATATTCGGCAAAACTTAAATACTACATGCAAGATTTTATTTATTACGAAAGTTAGCAGTTTACATCTTATTGATGTAAAAAAAAGAAAAAAAATTGTTCCAATTTTTCCTGGATTTTCCGGAACGAAAGAAAAATAAAAAAGAAAACACAAAGACAAAATTCCTAACTTTCGTGACATTACAGCATTGAATATTTCGTTTCGTTCTCCACATGCTACATATTTAACATTACAGATTAGAAAAATCCATAAAATCTTCATATATTTTAAAGATTCTTTTTTCGTAACAAAAATTTGCAGTTTTGATATGGGTGTTGTGCGAAAAATTAAGAAATTGTCCTAATTCTTTTCGATTTTTAAAAATAGAAAAGATTACAATTGACAATTGGGTCATTCTACCTTGCCTCACACTGCCCCATAAAGAAAAAAGAAAATTGTCATGATTTTTCTCGATTCCGAGGATTGACAAAATAAAAGAAAAGGATATAAAACTGCAAATGTTCGTGACGTTTTACATTTGGATATTTTTTTTCAAAACACATGCCACTCTTTCAATGTTTCTTTTTATAAAATCATCTTTATATGAAAACGAAATAAAATAATTGGTTTCATGAATTATATGAAATATGAAAAACACTGTTATAAATCTTAATCTTAAAAAAATAATCAGAGCCTTCACTATGACCCAAATTTCACAGTTAACATGAAGAAAAGGTAACAAATTTGAGACATAAACTGCGAAATATTATCTAATGAGTTTTTAGATGTAATTATTTTTCTTAAAATGTCAAAAATAATCATAATAATACTCAAGAGGTCGAGCAACTGAGATTAGTCAATTTTCTGTTTCTGAAAAGAAGAAAAAAAAATAATTTCTTTTCGATAATAAAAGTAAATTCATGTTTCAATACAATAAATTTCATGTTAATTTTTTGTTTATTAAGCAGTAGTTGAGAAAAGAAAAATAGAAGTCAAAGCCTTTAAAATATTATTATAATTGGCAATTCCGAATACCTTTCCATCCGATGACTCTGAGAAATCGGCTTCTCTCTTCGGGTTGAGGGGGGGTGATTCTACAGCATCCTCCATATCGTCTTCGCTCATCATAGGGGCTCCAGGGACAACTGCAATTTGATCCATGCTATTTGCATTGAGAACAAATGCGTCAAGTCGACGATCGATTGTCCCTTTAACGGTGAGTTTCATCCCTTCACGCAATTCCTCATTGGGAATAAACGTGGCCACCTGAACCGTCATTCGATGAGTGTCTGTGCAAATCATTCCGCTTCCATAACTCGTACCACTGGTTGTTGAGATACTTCTGAAGGGTTCCTTGAGCCACCCAGTGATCATAACTGGCTCGCGAGCAGTACACACATCTATCATTTCGATGGGCCGATACGTTATTGTCTTCTTTATTGCCCCGTCAGCGTTTTTAGAAATGTTGAACATACCCAAAACTTCTAGAGTACTTGCACATCCAAATTGAAATTCTTTATCACTGACGGTGTCCCCGGATCTGCGATACGTTGGATTAGCCAATTTGATCGTACCACCACTAATCTTAATAATCTGTAGAAATAAAGGACATCATTTTCATCGAAATATCGTTTGAATTGATGTCAATTGAATAAGAACATAAAAAATGAACAATTTTTTTTTCTAATTGCCATTTATTGTAATTGATTTTTTTTCATGTTGAAGCTTTGTGTTTGAACTTTAAAATAAAAAAAAAGTAATTCAATTTTACTCTGCCAATCCCAGGATATTAACAAATGAAGTAATTCCGTTTCCCCATTCTCTCCTATTTTTGTTTTTAATTTATAAGTTTAATTATTATTTTCAAAAAATTTAGAAGTGTCGAGGTTCATCAAATTTCCCTACGCGACGATTTTTACATTAAATTTAAAACATCTGCCGAAAAATAACGTGGACCAATCGACTATGATTGATTTAAGAAAACCACGTAAAATTGCATTAGCATTGCATAAAAATCACGTAAATGAAATTACCGTACCTGATACATTGCGATCTCCTTATTGTATCTCAACGCACTATCCCCCCAAAAGAGAATGCGAACCCTTTTACCATCATTATTATTGACGATGCATTTGTAAATCCATTTTGAAGCCGATTTAGGTAATTCTTTTAATCCCTCGATGCAGTCTACATATCCAGTTATTCTCCTGAAAAAATTGAAATTTTATTTCTTGAATAGCACGTGTTACTGAAATTAGGTTAGAATGATTCAAATGTACAGGATAAATATTCTCTAAAAATACTTACATGAGAGTAGCCCCCACATTGAAGTGTTCAATGGCTTTACTCGAAGTATATTTAATATTCGATGATGTCATAATTGTTCAGTGATGCACTTTACTAATCGTTTGTTGCCAAAATGGAAAAGCGTCGCAACGTTCTTCTCGACGTCCAGACCGGAAAGAATGATTTCAGCCACGGCCACGACGCCGGAAGCGCCTTCAGAACGACGGATTCAGTCTTACGCATCTTCGATAATTTCGAGATATTCCGATATATCGAGATATTTTCGACATATCGATGTTTTTTTTAGGTTCTCCTTTTTATATTAGGATTAGATGCACTGTTTAGCAAAATCAATGAACAACGGGTACAAATGAACGCACAACGGGTAAAAATGGTTAAATAACAAGTAAAGATTGAAGTTTTGAGTAGAAAAATTTCACGATAGAAGAAGGCTAAACCCACACCGAAGAAATTATCAGTACAAGAGGTAATTTCCGGTACAGCGCAGCATTTAAGCGGTGGAAGCCTTTCCATTGTTAAAATGAAACTTCGTCATTCGCGAAAACGATCGTGGAATAAAGAAAAACAAGATTTCGCGTTACAAATTCATTGTAGAGGTCCTCGAGTATACCGCTTTTTAAGAAAGAGACGAGGAGTTTCATTGCCGTGCGATACTTTGATGAGAAAATGGATAAATGAAACGAACATTTTTCCTGGCTTCAACCCTGTAGTTTTTGCCAAATTGAGAGAGAAAGCAGAGAAAATGGAAGATGATGAAGAAGATTGTACACTCATGTTAGATGAGATGTCAATTCGTGAGTTACTAGCGTATGACTTGCGTTGGGATTGCGTTACGGGTTTCGAGGACTGAGGAGAAGATGGTCGGTTGAATAAAATCGGTAATCACGCGTTGGTATTTATAATTCGAGATTTGCGATCATCTTGGAAGCAGCCGATAGCTGATTTTATTTCGAATGGCTCGGTTAGAAGCAATGTCGTGCAGCGTATGGTAGATGCGGCTGTACATCAAGTCTATGATTGTGATCGAGTCAAGTTCATTGTTTGTGATCAAGCACTGGCCAATGTTTCGACCATTCAGGCTCTGATCACGAAATCCCTCCATTAAAAAAAAGAGGGTAATGATTTTTGTCACTAATCTATTCCTACTATACGTACATAGGTACGTATAGTAGGAATAGATTAGTGTTACTCTTTTTTTTAAATATATATATATATATATAATATTATA